TATTTCAGAACTGAAATATAAAACAAAAGCTAAATAAAACCTCCCAAAGAGCTCAAGCCAAATATTTTTATAATTTAAAAAAAATAATCCCAAACTTTTTTCAGTTCTGTTAATTTCTGTCTTTTTTATTGGATATTTATTTCATTAGCATCAAACCACTCTCTAAAACTCTTTCAATTTTCTTTTCCCTTTCAAGTCTTATCAATTAATTAACAAAATAATATTTATTTCTATGTAAGATTTACATTGCTAGTCTCTAATTTCATAGAATGATATAATTGTTTGGGTTGGATGGGACCTTAATGAACATTCATGGACAGGGATATCTGTTAGACCAGTTTCTCAATATCCCATTGAACCTGGCATTGAACACTGACAGGGATGGAGAACACACAACTTTTCTAGGCAAGCTTTCCCAGCACTTCACCACCTTCACAGAAAAGAATTTCTTCTTAACATCTATCTAAATTTCTCCACTTTTAATTTGTACCCATTACTCCTTGTCCTAACACTACAATTCCTGATAACAGTCCCTCTCTGGCTTACCTGTAAATCCCTTCAGATACTGGAAGGTTGCTATGAGCTCTCCATGTAACCTTCTCTTCTCCAGACTGAACAGCCCTAACTTTCTCAGACCGCATTCTCTAGGGAAGGTGCTCCAGTTCTTTGATCAACTTTGTGGCCCTCCTCTGAAATTGCTCCAACAACTGTGTCCTTCTTATGTTGGGGACACCAGACCTGTACTCAATACTCCAGGTGGGCTCTTACAAGAGCAGAAAAAGGGGGAGAATCACACAACCTTCTCTTCTCCAGAAAATAAATTTGGATAAATTTAATCTAACTTTTCTATTCACTCACATTCAGTTTTCCACTGTCTACTTGATACCTATTTTTATGGGATATTTACTTGTTTTGTTTTCAAGACTCCATCAAGAAAGAAAAGCAAAATTGAATTATTAAGATGCAAAAAATATTTGCCTCAAGTAGCAAAATTTAGAGTTTCATTGACACCTCTGTAAATCAATGGAGAGAATTGGTGTTATCAAAGGTCTCTAAAATGAGCAACAATGAGTGGGGACAGTGCTCCTCTGTCTCAATATATCACTTACTCACCTGTGTCCTTTTGGCAGTCATTAATACATAACCTGTGGGTTTGTCTCATTTTGGAGAATGGAGGGAGAGCACAGCCAAATTGCATCACCCACTTCATTGCCAGAACGATGCATTACTGGAAATAGGCTTGTGATCTTTGCCTGAGGCAGGGGACCTGCCCAGGCTCATTTACCTGGGCTCCGCTATTTTGAAGGTAGTAGTAGAGGGGTGCAGGATCTCTGCCCTCACGGTTGAGTTGGTGCAAGCTGGATTCAGATTTACAACTTTGCTTTCTTCTTCATTTGATACCTTTGAACTTTTCAGTCACATATTCATCAGGTATCTGAATTGCCTTCACTAAATGAGCTTTCTCCACCACTTACAATGAAGCCATTGTAACACATAATCATGTCATTTCCATACCATACAATTACATTCCAATTAATTTCCACACATTCAAACAAAAGTTTTCCATTCTCTGTTCTTAATATTCCACAATCATGTCACACTTGTTATGTTTCATTCCTTCCTATTGCTCTATGTATCCTTTTAAATTATATCACACTCTTTTAAGCTATTTTCATCTGGGTGGCCTTTTTTCTTCTTGCCATTAAAGATATCATAACAGTAAGAGCAATATTAGAAAATATAGGATTCAGTATAATCATCTCCTTATTTTCAGCTTTGTTTTACTCTACCAAGGCATCTTAGTTTTAAAGTCCAGTGAGCCCTGGACCACCATCTAGAAGATGACACCATGTTCTGACAGCAGCATTCTAATTTTTGTCCTACTCATCAAATTTGATCCTTCATCCCTTGTAATTCTGAAAACTAGTTTCCAGCCAAGTTAAGGGATCAAATTCTTTCTTTAATCTAACCAGTTTGAATAGATGCTTTGCTGAGTTACCGTCAACCCCAGAAAGAAATGGAGAAAGGATCATATAGGTTGCCAGTGCTACACTATCTGATTATGTGTATATCTGGAATACCAGCAACAAAGCCTACTGAAAATAGTACACCAAGGGATGGTCATCAGTGTAAGGTAATTTTAGTAAGACCCAAATCTAAAAATTAGCCATTCAAACCTGCTATTCTTTTTTTTCTCTTAACTTTATTTCTACTGATCTCTATTTTCTAGCTTCCCTTTTGTATTTCAGTTGATGTTTAACCCATATGAGTTACCTGCTGCACATAAACAACATTTTTATTTTTTCCCCATGCAATTGATTTTATGATTAAGAGAAGTATGATAACTGATCACATGCTTACATGCTTTCACTGCAGTTCTTTGCTGTGAGCCAAAATGATAACGTAGTTTGTATACTGTTAATATTTCTAATTCATTAATATTCCAGAGTCATTATCCAACACTTTAACTATTTTGACATTAATTAAATTTATAATCACACAAAGCCTGTGGCATCCTGTACCATTCATAGTCAATCTTCATCTCAGACTGCATAGCAAATGGGAAACAAGAAGATGCTACACAGTCTGTAATATCACTGATATAAAAGGTAGCATACTGACTTCTAAAGTACTGAATTAATGTTTTAATTATGATAAAACATTAATAGCTTTCTCTTCTTGGATTTGATAGTGTTAATACACAAATTTGATTTCTGTCCTTGACAAAGGATAATGGATTTTCTCCAAAGGCCAATTAGCATTTAACAACAATTAAGTGAAAAAGATATGTAATGATCCTAATGGAATGAAACTACTAGTTACAGGCAATTCATAGGACAAATTGATAAATGCCTGTCTTAAAATATTAAAGAAAATTTCCAGCTCCTCTCTTTCTCACCCCAAATTATTTTTATTCTAAACAAATGCTTATTTTTCTAGTGATTGGCATAATTTCACAAATTTTTATCATACATAAAGATTGCATACATAGCAGAGGAGCAGTAATTTTTTGTTTTCAAAGTCCAGCTGTTTTCCACTGAGTACACAGATTATTAGACAGGGTAATAAATCCCAGTCTGTTCTTTTTTCCCTTTTTTTCTTCCTTAAGGTAATGAATCATGTAGCATTTTTATTTGTCAATTGGTGATGACAAAACACATGTGCAAAGAATATACACCTTAAATTTCTGTAAGTGTAGCATTGTTGTGGGTCTTATATATGGAGGCTTATTTCTTGCTAATATACCTGTAAGAGTACAAATATTTAATAAAATTGAAGGTCATTTATAAGACAAGTGTCATAAAATTAGGTGTGTCTGCTAATAACTCTGGGCTGGTCATACATGTGTGTTTTTGACAAGAGTAAAAGTCAGGTCACTGTGAAGAGCTCTGAAATTCCACTCCTCTCTTATTTGCATTGGACATCTGCTAGACATTTATAGGATTTAATCAATAAACTTTAAATTCTTTTTGTTCACATCACAGGTCATAATGACATTTACAAAAGCTAAATGTCACTTGATTTCTCTTCATATTTTGGAGAGAAAAATGTAGAATTATGAGGGAATGTTTTTCCAGAGATGAGAAACTGTCTAAAGTATAAATAACAAATAAACTTTCCTAGTGGCCTTTAGGTAATAGTTTTAATGCATTTTTCTAAATTAATATTAATTATGTTTTTAACAATCCTATAGTCTTGCATAAAAGATGAAATGCCAATGAAAATCACGACTATTTTATATGTGCATATTGAGACACTGTTAAATTAGCTAATTGGCCACTGAGCACCAAAATCTGACTTTTAATCTTCTGTAACAATTGTTTTCATTGCTTTCAATGTTATTTTCATTTTTCCTGGTCTTTATTCTTAATTCAGTAAGGATTTTTTTGACTAGCTCCCAGGAATGTTATTAGGAATTACAAGAATGATTCTTATTCAACACGATGAATACATATCCTTAAAAGTCATTATCCTCCAAAATAAACAAGCTGAACTAGTCTGTTAATAGCAAGTATAATAAGGACAGGTTGACTCTGAATGGTAGGAGTAAAATTTTATGAATACTAAGCATGTTTTGAAGTACCACTCTGTGTTATTCATGGCCAGATGTTTTTAAGTAGCTATCCTAAACTGTATATTCAGCAGAAAATAGTTCATTTCTGCTAAACTAAATATTTAAATCAATTATAATCCAGGTCAAAATATTCTTGGCCTGATGAAAATATAGCACAATAATTTCCTGATAAGTTTCCTTTTTTGGACCTTACATGATCTTTCTGCAACATATAACAACTCATACAAATGCACTGTGATATGGATAAATGGCATCATTAGACCATCAGGCCCTCCTTTGTTCAAATTTAATATTTAGATTTTATTATTATAGAAATAAAAACAATTCTTATAGAAAAACCCAAATGCCTCCACTATTTGAATGATAACTATCATAATGTAAAGATTACAGTGTATAAATTTTCAATTAGGAAGTAATATGCATGTGTTGATAAGAGACATATTTTATTCAGTACAGTCATTAAAAATGCTCCAACATACCCAGCACAATAATTATTGCTTGTTTGTTTGTTTTGTTTAAGGCACAATAATCAGAAGTCTGAAAGTAAATTGAATACCAGTACTTACTTGCTGACACAAAAGTTCTGATTTTCCATTACAGATAAAGAGAGATGACATTTGCAGGATGGAAAATGTTCAGATAGCAACCAATTAAGTGTAAAGAATGTTACTTTAATTAAGGATACACCTTTTAGTGAGAAAGAAATGGCAGTTCAAATCTCTCGTGAGGGGATAACAGCACAGATAGACATTCAGCAATGGTTAAGATCCTGTTGTGGTCATTGCAGTAGTATAAACAGAAGTGACATGAAAAGACTGAGGCACAAAATGTGCATTAGGCTACTGAGTCCATCAGGCTGAATTAATTTTCACTTTTTGTTTCTCCATCACCTGTGACACCTTGGCAATCATCTTAAATTCTCCAGTGATATCAGACACTGAAAAAAACATCTGTGGTATCATTTGCTTTTCCATAAATGTATGCAGGTATGTATTCTATATTTTTTCTATTTGGAGCAAGGATGTGTGAAAGTACAGAGGTCAAATGTTCTTTGGTAATTTATGTTTTCCTACAAGCTGGGCTGTAAAATGTACAGCTGTTTAATTTACTGCTAGATTAAAACTATTCAGCCTGGAAAAGAAAAAGCAAAAACAATATCTTAATCTTTTGACTTTAGAAGGAAATAAGAGTCTTTCTCAGAAGGACTGGGCAAGATGTGCACTGTTAAAGGAACAGGGAGATAATTCTCTGTCATCCAAACCTTATTTCTGTACTCTGGAGATGTTTCTTGTGAACAAATGAGTGGGGACAGAGGCTGCTAGTCATTTATTTATCTGTAGGATTTGGTGTAAGGAGTAAATAATCTGATGAATGAACAATATAAACATCTATTGTATTTATCTTTCAACTTACTGTATACAATGTTTCCATTTCTTACCTGCAACTACTTGACTGCTTGTTGAATAAAGGTTTATGCTGTCCATACAGAAGCATCTGAAGTACCTGCCTCCTGTGTGGGCGCTTCTTAAATAACAAATGAACTACAGTTGCATTTGTAAAAGAAAGAAAACCTTATATCAGGAAATGCTCAAAGAAACAACATCATCAAGAATTGGAAAGGATGTGGATGAATATTTACAATAGGATTAGATTTATGGTGAGATGCCACTGATTTTAAAGCTATGGGTTTATTTCCTTTTCTGATTTTAATAACTATTTTTCAGTCATAGTTTGTCCACCCCAGTATTAGCAACAGTGCAAATTGAGCTTCAAGTATTTTAATATATTGTCACATAGCTGGAATGAGCAGCAGTTAGATCAGAAAGACTGTTAACAATGGAATGAATATAATGTCGAGAAAGAGTGCTAATTTTCCCATCTCTGATGCAATGTCAGTGACTAATACCTTGAGACAAATTCAATTATCTGTTCTAAACCAAACTCCCCTAAAAGGACATATGGAAAATTAGAGTTGAAACCTGGGAAAAACTCTAAGACCTTTTTTATAACTAGAAAGGTTAGTGACTACTCTTTAAAAGAGTTAATAATATATATTTTTTTGTAATTTATTACTGCAAGAGCAGCCCCTGAGGTTAAATATATCCATAGTGTGTGGTACTAGAAGAATAGGACTTTTTCACCTATTCTGAACAAGCTTGTAAATCTTAACATTGTGCCAAATTTGAAATTTGTGTTGCCATTGTAAATCAGATCTAAACCACATTTAATAGAATTTTAATTCTAGTAAGGAAAAGAATAATTTCAATGATCATCAATTTTATTTACTTCTTAATTCTTGCCTCCGTAAAAAAATCCTGACCTTATGAGGATAGAAGAAATGAGATATCCTTCTAACCTCTAGTGCTTAAAAACATAAGTCTGGAGTTTAAAAGAAAATTTAGAGTTTACTAAATTTTAGGAAGTTTTAGATATTATACCATTATGGCTATCATATCTAAAACTGGATGTTTAGATATGTTTAAAACTGGATCATATCTAAAGTTGGATGCTTCAAAATTTGTATGGAAAATGAGATTTCTTCTTGAACTGTGTAAAAGGATGTAGATTTTTGCTAAGAACACAATTGTAAAACATTACTAGCTTCACTGAACCCCTTGGTATGAATGTGAGCAATACCACCACAATGATTATCAAACAAGAAAAAATGGAAATTTCCTTAATACCTTGGATATATAGACATAACCCTAGAAAGGTTGTAAATGTGAGTAATGGGTATCTATCTACTTATTCTATGAAATAATTAGAACTGGGTATCCATCTACTCATTCTATAAAATCATTATTGCCATTTTCAATTTGACCATTGCTCTACTGATTGCTGCTTATTTAGTGACCTCCTTTCTAGGTCAATCATTGTAAGCACAGAGTTTAGTGCTAGCAGTATACACATTATTGTCTGTGACATTCCTTTAGTGAACACTGTGCCAGAAAATAAGCATTTCTGAGCCTGCACAGTTTATTATGAAGTTGTGATAAATTCTCATTCATATTTCCCAGCAGGGATCAGTTGGAAGATCAGGGAAGGCAGTGGCATTAGCATCATCAGGGACTGCATGTGAGTCACACAGAGGTGTTTGGAATAGCGGGTGTTGTGTTTCCAGGTTTGATAGTAGTTTGCCAGCTCTTTCCTGAGGGAATGCTTACAATCCAGTATTTTTTTCAAGCACAGCCTTCTAAAAACAACTTGGAAAAGAATAACTAAATTTAGACTCCTCTATTATATTCAGCTCTGCAATATTTAATTTATCCTTATCACAGTCTGGTGCATGAAGCAAACACTTCCACTATATAGATAGGAAAGCACAACACTGCCAATTTCCTGTGAGCTGCTGGTTGGAAAAGTGCAATTGGGTCTTGTTTACAGTCGTCAATCTTTTTGGAGCTTGGAGGTCTCTTTGAAGTCAAAGAGACCTACAAGCCTTTAACCTGGAGACAATTACTGCCTCCGAGACATCCAATATAAAGCCCGTCTTCCTCTAAGATGGAGCCAAGCTCTGAAATTTGAGTCCAGATTTCAGCCATTTGCTCTCAATTACAAGGGGGACAATACAGAAACAAAGAGTGCAAAGAAAACAATTTTGTTGGTTTCATTCAGATACAATTAAAAGATCCAGAAAAATAAAAAATAATATCTTTTGAAGAACTATTCAACAAAACATCATTTTTCAAAGAATATATATATTTTTGGAAAACTTTTCAAAAGCTACTATTATATTATTTCCAGTATTTTATTATGTGATTTGATGTGGTATTTCATTACAAATTCTATGCAGCAGAAGTACTCTTATCTTTTTCACTGATTAATATCTGTTTAATAGCATTTATATAGGGAAAAAATGGTTTAGAAAATAGTGCTTTCTAAGTATCAAAAAATAAATATTAAATATATTTTTAAAAAGGCTAAAAATATGCATTTGAACAGATAACTACACATGTATGCTAGGAGTCAAAATTGACTTCAGTCCTAGATAAATGTGGATCCACTTATCGTTTGCCATGAGACTGATAAGGGGATCTGATACTGCTCCTTAGGCTAAGGTAATGTTAATATCCTGCTGCGTGCTTGAAGTCAGACTAACAGAAACAGGGCAAGGAAATCAGCAGGAAGGAGTAGTGCCAAGGATTTTTGGGAGTTTTTGGATACTGAACTGCAGACCAGTATACCCCAGGTAGGAAAGTTTGACTTTTGCAGACTAAGCTTGGGATACAAGAACAAGTGAATTGGAATGTAAATTTCTAGGTAGCAAATGGGAAGAAAGACATTGAATATAAATGACGAGAGAGAATGTAGACAGATATTGCAATGAGCAATCTGCTCACTTCAGTATAAAGATGCAAATAAGTGGGCTAAAGGGAATACAAGAAAGCTTTTTTGGGAAAAGTAAAAAGGCGAGCTTATTGGTTTGTGCTTTCATGCTGTGGGATATTTATTGTGAAAACAATACATTAGTAGTCTATTCAGAACCTGTCTACTCGTAACTTTAATCACTCAGTTGTTCATAAGATACTGGAGAGGAGAAAAAATTTAACGTTTGTGAAGAGTTCAATTCATGTCCTCATTTACTTAATGTAAAGCTGTGCAGTTCCAGATTTAAGGGAACTGAAAACAGATTTACAGTATACAGGCTTAAGATATATTGGAAGGAGCCTGACACCTGTTAAAGACAAAAATAGACAGCTAATCATCTGCAGCTCATGTCTTGTTCAACTTTTGAACAAATTTTTTTCTTGTGATTAATGGTAGTTTTGAACAGTGATGTAGGGACTGATTCTATTACTGTCATTAGTGTTGTCATGATGTGTACTTCATGCTGTCCATAAACAGTAGAACTAGAACCTAAATTGCTTTCTTCAGTATTTTCATAGTTCAGACAAGACCATCTTAGGTCTATCAGGAAAAAAATTCATGAAGTAAAAGGCAGCAACACTAGCCTCTAGCCTGTTTTATTAGATGCTGTCTTCTAATACTAAAAATCCAGAAGACATTCCAAATGAAGCAATGCAACCTTGTAGGAAACTAAATTTCTTGCCTATTCATGCAAAATCCTATTGGAATTCAGACTGAAAACCAATTTGCAGATACCTACTAAATAGGTATGCAGTGTTGATTGGCTCTCTGAGATTTCTTTTCACACCACAGCACAGTTCTTCTGACTAATTTTTTGCAAACATTTTTTCATCAGTGCTTTATAAATGAAAAGAAATAGAAATGTATTTATATATAAATGCATGTGTTACACCTTTCTGGACCAACATTTTATTTTATCACATCATAACAGTGAAAATATCTACAAAAAGAAACATGCTGTATAAAAAAGAGTAATTCAAAGGGTGAAAAGAACTCACAAGTCTGATTTCTTCAAGGCATTGTGTAATCCTTACTAAACACTGGATAGGAAAGGTAAACTTCAACTTTGTCCTAGAAGTGAAAGCTCAGCAGGTCTGTCAAGACAGTACACAAGGAAGTAGATCAAGGGAATTTGTCTATTTGCATGTACATCAGCTCTTTAAAATCTGTTGTTTTTGTTAAAGTTAGTTGCAGCATCTGACTGAACAAAATAATGAATTCTTTCTCATTCTGCTGAAAAAATTTGAGGCCTTTGGGACCTTATGTCAGCGCAAAAGTTTTGAAAGTGGCTATACATCTCCTTTTTGATTTCTGTTCCAGTGTTTCCCTTCTTTCAGTTCCAACTTAAAATTTCCAGTCTTGGAGTAACAAGTACTTTTGAGTGCTAACAAATAGGATGAGAGTGGAGGGGAGGGGAAGAGAGAGGAAGTAAAAGAATAGAACTACTACCAAACTTATATACCTGACAGTAATTAATGAGGATAATGGGCTTTTCCTGCGATTGTTTCTAAAGAAAAACATTAAGGAAGTTCCAAACCAGTGCTAAATCACATAATGGGCATGGTACCCACACTCCCTCTCAATGAACTCAAAACATACCATTGGCTGCAGGCAATATTAGTGCCCACTGTGAATCAAGCCAGTCTGCTCCTGTATAGAGATCAGTATACATGGGAACATTATTTTTGTTCTTCCTATTCAGAAATTTTTCTTCAGGGCATAAGGAACAAAATTCTATACCTCAACAATGTGAAATAAGCCTCAAGGCCAAAATGTCAACTTCAGTCTTTTAAAACTTTATTTGAGAACTTTAAAAAATAAAGAAAATATTGTTTGATTTGCAACCAAGTGTTCTGACACTGCACAGTAGTACTAAGATGAACTGCAGGATGTGTTGAGCACAGGGTAGGAAATTAAAAAAGGTACTGGAGCTTGGGGATGCAAAGACAGATGACTGGATTATATTTGTACATATTTATTTTTATATGTTTACATATATGCACATATGTTTATAACTATGCACATATATGTGCATATGTATATATGCACCTGTATATGCATATATAGTGCTTAAAAAAAAAAACAACCCATCAACATTTATTGAAATAAATTACTGTAAGAAAGAAGAAGAAAAAAGAATCTGATTCTAAAACATGGATGATTAGGAAAAATACATGCATATTTTTCTCTATGAATTGGACTTACCCAAATGGTAATTGCAAGCAACTCCCTCATGGCGATCGCAAGGAGATTGACAGCAGTTCTATAGTGCACAAGTCATGGCACACCAGATTTTGAGACAGCTGCTCCAGGGCTTCAAGAAGGGCTTCAAGGTACAGAATTGTACTTTTATGATCTCTGATGGACAATAGCTCTGTATTTCATAGAATATGCTGAGTTGCAAGGGACCAGTCAGAATCATTGAGTCCAACTCCTGGCACTACACAGGATGCCCAAGAATCACACTGTGTGTCTGAGAGCATTGTACAATTTCTTCTTGATCTCAGGCTGGTAATATGACCATTTCCCTAGGGAACCTGTTCCAGTGCCCAACCACCCTCTGGGTGTAAAACTATTTCCTCATATCCAACCGAACTGTCCTTCAAGTCACCTTCATGCCATTTCCTCAGGTCCTGTCGCCAGTCATGACAATGGAGAGATGAGTGCCTGTCCCTCCTCTTCCCCTCCTGAGGAAGTTGTACCTGCAATAAGGTCTCCCCTCAGTCTTCTCTTCTCCAGTGCAAGTGACCTCAGCAGGTGCTCATGTGGCTTCACCTCCAGAGCCTTCACCACCCTCTTGGGCCTCCTCTGGGTGCTCTCTAATAGCTTAATGTCTTTCTAATATTGTGGTACCCAAAACTGCACAGAGGACTCAACAGAACATTTACTCTACATTCCTTTAAAATGGGAGAAACTTGTTTTGGTGAAACCCCCTAAAAAGGAAGATCTTTATCTTTTTATCCTTTCCTAGAAGGAAATTAATTAACTCAGTCTTTCAGACAGCAGATTTTGAGACAGGAAGATCTAATGCAAGGAGTTGGAAGTTTGCAGCACAAAGAGAAATTGCTGAGGAGAGCACACAGCAGCTAGAAAAAGCTCGTAAGTGACAGCAGAGGCTTTCTAAAGTATTTGTTCAAGTTTGTACTAGTAAAATTCTTCAAAACTTTCTACACTTTCTTCCTTTAGTTTGTATTTTTATGTTTTAATTTAAATTCTAATAGAGATTGCAACCTTTGCTTAATAATGTCATTTCATCTTAGAGATCTTGGTATGAGGAAGATGTTAAAACACATTCATCCCAAAATTCCAGCTGACCTTAGTTTAGTCAGCCTATACCTTAAGGATTTTCATGAATCTGTGACTGCCAAAAAACCAAAAAAGTTTTACTTTTTCTGATCTTTCTGGTCATATTCTTGTACGAAGAACCATCAGTAGTATCTTTGCCCCTTTCCCTGTTCTTGCTCTAGTTAGTATAATTGTATGCATATAATATAAAGAAGGCCTCAGAAATATTCAGGAAGAGCAATTACTTTGGGTACTTGAAATTAAGGAAGAAATAATACTTGCAGTTAAACCATGATGTGCCCCTTTGTGTTTATACCTCAAATAAACTTTCTACAGTGAAATTATTAATTCTGTGTCAGATTAAATGTTCTGATATTCCAGGATGGCAGGTGTTTTACAAAACTGCTTAAAAAGGTATTAAATCACTTCATTCCAGAGTTTATATTTTACTTACACTGAACATTGCTGAAGACATCTAGAATATAGTTTGCATAGAAATAAAATATTTTTTAATCCTAAAATATAAAAATCTGAAAAATCAAATGTGGGTCATTAGAAACAACATGAGCCATATGGTAATACTATAAACAATACTATTTTTCTCCAGTCATGAGTATTTCAGCTCTCACTTTAAAATTTAACATTTAGGGATCAGGGTGGAGCTGAAACAAGAAAGAAAAGATGTTAGAGAAAGAAAAAATGTTAGAGCTTGCAGTTTTCTAATACTTTATATTATTTATTTGTTTTATGTTTAAGTCTGGCTTCCTGCCACATAAAAAAAAGAAATATGGTAGTTATCAGTAGCTTGAGAGCTATGAGAGTACACACCATCTATTGCAGGGCAAAGTGACAAGAATGTGGTAGCCTGCCAGAGGGTGAAAGTAAAGGAAGAAGGAAAGGAAAGGAGCACTAAGAAGATAGTGAATTAAAGAACATACGAGGGGAGAAAAAATGGTAGAAAGGTTAATGTAGGTTCAGCAGTGTCAGAAACCAAGTTAAAAGGCTAAACAGTGAGTTCACTACCAAAAAATGAAATCCAGTAGCAAGCTAGGCAATCAAATGAAACTTAAGTATTAGAAACCAAGGGATATTGTGCTACTCAAAACATTTGGGAAGGGATCCACCACTGGAGCTGGATAACAAGCTAACCAATGTTATTTTAGCTGATCAGTCAGCTGCAGTGCAGTCAAATTTTAAAAGATAAGAAGAAATATATGAAGAATCAGCGATTTGTAGAACAGGTCTTACTCTGGCAGACCAGGTAGGAGAGCAAAATATTAAGGGCAGCAAATAGTCTAGTGGCCAATTATTGTGCCAGTGGAGATTCATTTGTGTGAATGTCTTCCAGATTGCCTGTGGCAGCAATAGTATGAAGTAGGTGCCCTTGTTTCAACCAGATATTACTAAAATCAGAGATTACCTTTTCTGAAATGAGGGGAAAGATGCTTAAATGACTCATAAAAAGTAGAAACAAGAATCATGGGAATTATTCCCCAAAATCCATTTGGTATGTCACAGCTGCAGCTGCCACTGTGTGCTTGAAAATGTGCATGTGTGTGCATGTCCCTGGTTTTGGTTTGTGTGCTTATTTATTTTTTTACAAGAGCTACTCTGATGCCAGATCCTTGCTTTTTGGAAAGGCTTATGCTTGTCTGAGTCCTCTGCTCTCTCATAAGTGCAGCCATCCTCAACACTTTTCAGACGTCTCAGTGACCTTGGAAGAGGATCAATACAGGCTGAATTAAAGCTTTTAGGTTTTTGCATCACACTATTAAGTGTAAAAACCCTGCTGTTTCCATATGCTGCACCTTTGGAATTTGGAATTTTTATTTGCAATGATCATGTTCAGAAAGGTTTTGGGTTTTAATTCTTTCTTATATACCATATTTCTTATTTTCATAGCTGTATGTGAGAAATTACCCTTTATGTTTGAAAATGAGTTTTTAATATTTTATTTCCACTTTTTTTTACTGTCTTATTTTATTTTCTTCCAAATTCAATATTAGGACTTTTGCATTATTTCAGATCAGAGACAGAATTTCTGACTTTCTGAAACAGACATAAACTATTTTTGAAATAGTTTGTTGAAGATCATTGCAATAATTTTAAGTTTCAATCTCATAAATTATAGAAAAATATTTAATATTCTTTTTATCTTATACTCTTACTTTGTCTTTAACAGAAGCAAACTAACCAGGAATATGCAGAGGCATCTGTTATAAAAACATTTGTTTGTCAACTGACAGCTACATTGATCATGTCCATCAAATGGTTTCCTCCCACTAAGTCTTTGAAGATTTTTGTGAATAATTACAAGTTTAGGCCACATCTTCTTTCCTGTCCAATTCTACAGTTTGCACAATTAAATTAAGTAAACATGAAAGACAATTGCTTAAAAGAAAAAAAAAATTATTTTGAGAAAGAAGTTGGAAGAAATAACAGCTCTTATCTGTCATCAAAACTGTCAGTTTGATGCACAAAGAGAAAGCAAATGCTCCAGTGCTGCAATAATGACCTTCAACATTATTTCTTTGAACTGTGAGTACTGCTTTTCTGAAACACTGTCTTTTGGTTCCTCTCTTTATAGAAAAAGAAAAGAAGATAAATAATGTGTGAATACTTAAGTAACCTATGTTCAAAATTGATAAGGCAAAAAAATACATTTTTCCTCTTTTCTCGTGCTGTGCACATTTTAGGTCTCTTCAGCAAAAGGGAAGCTCTTTCTTTCCTTACAGATTGATATTCTATTAAAAAAATATAGCTTGGAAGGATAAAGGTTTATATAAAATTTAAACACAGCAATCAGTGAAGGATAGAAAAATTATAGGGAGTGGATACTTGATAAAAGGAATTGGTAAGATCTATCTTTTATGAACAAGGCAATTATGTATAGGAGTAATAAGAATAAAGTAAGAATTTAAGTACAAACACTAGAAAATCATCACATTCTATGAAAAGAATTTTGAGGGGTTTGTCCTACCTCTTTTTTTTTCTTTTCTAACTAGAATGCCATGTGCTGAAGCATATTTCATGAAGAGAATGTTTTATAAATTATTTGATTTTTGTATGCATTGATGTGCAAAATGGGTTAATAATTGCTGTCATGGAAAGAAAAATTCAACTTTTCTTTTTTCCCCAGTCTGTCAGATTGAGTATGACATCACTGTGCCTCATTATGTAAGAAGAGATTTCTCAAAGTAAGTGAAAGCATCTGAAACCTATCTTCAGTGGTATAAATATGTCTTTTATTCTTTTTTTAATGAAAGTTGAATTAATTTTGATACAATTTTTCCACTCCTCTTTTGAGTTCTTCACCATTGGCAGACCATTGTACATGACCTATTCAAATTAATTTCTAATTCGTTGCAGTTTTTCCTATTCAAGGAGGAGCTTTTAATCAGAAATTATATCAAAGATCCTATCACAGGTGCTGTTAACAAGTCTTATGAGTTTGTTGCATCCTAGAGGCTGGTCTAAATAGTGCTGGGTTCTGAAAAAACCTTTCTGATGGCAAACGTACTGGCCAGACTCCCTGTGAAACAAGTTGGCGTGATTCTGCTGATTGAGGGAGCTAGAGCATTGTTGGAGACTATAAACAGAAATTTGCTGATTTTGCAAAAGTTTTCTGCTTTGGCTGCTTTTATGGAAGCTAATGAGAATGTCTCTGCTAACATCCACATAACTAGGCTAATGGTTCCTGGGTTGGGAAACATAATCCAACTGAATATGGATCACATCAAATCCAGCAAAAATCTTGTGGAAGAAGTATTGCCAACTGCAGTATGTAATAGTTAACAAGCAAAAATACAGGTGAAAACAAGATAATTTATCTGAAACCACAAAGAAATACTTAAAGAGGTTTAGAAATCAGACACAAAATACATCCTTTCTGAAATTAATGGGCCTTGAAAAGACATAAAGAAAAAAAGAGAAATTTAAAATCAAAATGCAGATCAAAACATATCTGGTTGAAACACAAATAAAGACATAGAACTCAAAATCAACAGTGAGATCCACATTCAAATTTGAACCCCAAACTCTCAGGTAATTCATTAATTTGGATAATAGGACAGAGGGCAGCATTGTGAGCAAGTGCAGGATGGGAAAATATCTATGCCATACTTCTTATAAAACCTGTCTCTGAGGAAAGTTATCAAAATGACTTCAAGCCCAATATCATCTCTAGCAGAAAAAGGTCTAGTTAAACAGAGAGAATAATAGCACTAGTGTTCTTTAATTATCAAGAAATGTCATACCAAATTTGAAGCAATTTTGAGTAGACTGTCAATTCTGCAGGTCAAAAGACATATATGTAGTTACCTAACAAACCAGGTCAATATATCTAAGACTGAAAGAAGACTACTATCACCATTCTGTGCATCTTAGTGTTGTCATTTTAATTAATTTAATATTATTTCATAAGCAGTTGGGCTCACATACAATATTTAAATTCTTATGTAATAATGCATTAACAGTTTTGCTGCTGCTAATCCCATTCTGCCTTAATAAACTACAAACCCTGCTTTCCATCTCTTTTATACCTTGTCTCCTTTGAAAACGGTGGGTGGGTCTTCACCTTTAAGTGATACCAGATCAAGTTATGAAGTCCATGGACAATCTTAAATGATGATAATTTAAGATTTTATAGACAAACAATTTTTATTCAAATAACAGTAATCTCATTCTGATTTGTGTGTCTAAAAAGTCCAAAAAGACAAACTATCAAATGCATATAATTTTCATAATTGCTATATATTTAAGAATGTTTCTTATTTATTCCAGACTAATCCTTTGACATGTGAAAACAAAGAAACATGGATCTTTGAGTAGTATCACAAAACTTCAAATACTTTCCATTAGGCAAGAAAACGAAAAAAAAACCACCATAGTTTCTACAGCCTTTTACTTCTTCTTTTTTATTTTTTTTTATGTTAATGTGTCTATAAAACATACAGCAAAGAAAAGAAAAACCTCCATAGACCTAGCAACATTTAGTACTCTTTCTCTGATGAAAGGATTATTATCCCCCAAATTCACTTTTGCATCTTTCCTAGCAATCTGTCTCTTTACATCTTAATTCTATTTAGCAATCAATATAGCTCACTATAATTGCAACTTCATCAACAACAGCATGGTTTTTCCATTAATTCTCAAAGCAAATTTTCATTAAATGCTAGCCTGATGCTTCTTTCACAGATATTTGTAAAAACCTATGATTTTTCTGTCTAATATAATGGCAGCATATTTTTCTTTTCCTTCATGTGGGAAAAGATTTTATTAGGTTAATGGGTTTTTGCTTTATTTAGGTTGAATTTGTAACCCCTGAGGTTTGTATTTCGTTTGGAATAATGATATAGTTGCATGCAAACCTCAGCATTAGCTGACAGACATAAAACCCCTACATCTACCACAGACTCAGCCTCAATCAGTAATTCTGTCACTGATCACTGTATTATTTGAGTTTGAAAATCAACCCAAATTTTATATTGAAGGTCTCATACGGTTTTGTTCAAAGACCTCAACAAGGAGAATAAAGAAAATACACTGAATATTTCAGGATCCCATGAAGAAAAAGCTAACAGAAGCTCTTGGCAAAAACTTGAATGTGAGAAACCGACTGACATTAGAAGCAATAATCCTTTTCAGATGCTCACTTTTATTCTAGGCCTGTTCAGGTTCAGAAGACAACAAATCTTTCTGAATTTCTTATCAGAAAAACTATTGTGCTGTTGCCTTTTTCACAATCTGGAAATGAAACTCGAGATAATTTTAGTAATGAGGTAATATAAAAGGGGATCTTTATCTGAAGGCCTTCAGGAGCAGTTATGGAAAGATGTCTGCAAAAGCGCCCACCCCCCAGCAACAGGGGTGAATATATTGTATAGTTTTAAAGAAATTAGAGTAAATGATAAAAAGCATAAATTAGAAGGAGAAGTCATGATGCAATTCCCACCCAGCTCAAGCCCCTTCTCTGGAGCCCCTCCTTCAGCAGTGGTTTTACTTTGTCCATGAGAATGTATCTCAAAGAGTTGTTCTCAGCCTTTGTTCCCAGGAAGAGCCAAGATACCACTGATGCCTTGTACTATCCAGTACAAGGAGCTTGGAGATCTGGAATTTGTCTTTCTGCTTAAGGAAAAGCCATGGAAAAGTACTGGGAAAATTAGTCATTAGTACAATAGCCTACAGAGCTACAAATATATATGTAAAAAATACAGAGAACATATAAAAGGAAAAAAAGGCAAAACCTAAACAGCATCAGTACATATCTCAGCCCTGGCAGTGAATTATTTATCAGATTCCCCAGTTAGATTTAATTGTCTTTCATTCTTTACCAAAGTACTGTGACTACAAATTCAATCAAATGTTTTCCCATTTGTAGGGTTAACACAGTTACTACTTTTCTACTTAGTAATAAGAATCTAATTTAGAAAAGCTTTTAAAGAAAATCTTAACTGAGATCCTGCTGAGGATATAGAGCAATAAGACACAGAAAAGCTGAAAATGGATTTAGGTACTTTAAAACTGGGGGTTAAAGACTCCCTATCAGTAGCTACCAAACTTGGAAGACTTACAAATATCTGTAGGGCCATAAGTTTTACCTTCCTGTAAACTTCATATTTTATCTTTGCCTGTTGTGAAGAAAGAGGTTCTGCTGCAGGCTGAACTATCTCTCATGTCAACAGAACCATATTTAGGAATTCAGGTCTGAAAATTTATTTTTGAAAGATGTCCATAGAAGTTGGAAAGAAGGGCCTCCCTGTGTTCAAGATTTTGGTAGATCAGGATTTCTTCCAGCAGGTAACAGTTTACTGGTGCTTTTCTTTTTCTTTCTTAAACACGTTTTATACATGCACACAGACATGGATGCATACATATGTATGTTGTACATATGAATATATACATATATGTATATATATATATATATATACAATATAAATTAACATTCTAACATTATGGATTTAAAAAGCAGGAAATTATTTAAGTACTCCCCCTCTTTTGATATAATATGTGCTATTACTTTAGGCCCTTCTCAGTTGTTTTCCAGAGATTGTTGTGTCTCTAACTCTATAAATTTGAGATTGAGGATATGATTCTTTATGACATGTACTATTTTCATAATTGAGCTGTTATATTTTCAAAGCATTCAGCTTCAGAACTGAATCTTACCACATTTCTGTATGTGTTTATGTTTGAGTTCCAGGGTTCCACTAATAAAGAATAAATACATGCATGAGCCATTCCAAATATAGGTCTCTATAGCTCCATATTAATATGTATCAGTACTATAAAATTATATTTTCTAGGAATATAGGCAATAACTTTAATATGACTCCAGATAACTTGTGGAGAAACTAGGAAATTAATATATATTTTATATACCAATTGTT